TGCTGTATTGAGAATTTTTTAAAAATCTGGCTTTTGAGGGAAAGAGCAGAATAGTAGCAAACCATCTATACTGGTATGAACAAGAAAAAGCAGAGATGGGAAACTTAATAGAAAAGTAGAACAGTTAACAGTTAGTTATTACTGTGAGAAATACTGAATGCACTAACAGTTAACTGCAAAATCCATGTAGAGGTGATACTTTTATTAGGCTCACTAAAATTAAACTCTTAAATTTTTCTTACTAGCATTCCAAACTCTAGGTAAACAGGCAGTTGACAGAACTGGTGAGAGGAATGCCTCACAAGGCAGGGATGGTAATTTGGTAGAAATGCCCCACTTCACCATTGTGTATGAAGTATGCAGCCAATACATATGTTGATATGTATTGGTTGGGTACTTCATATCTAGAGATATGAATGTCACAACTTCTCAGTCTCAGCAAGAAGACTGTTTTTCAGAAATAAAAAGAGAAAATAAAATATCTTGTTTTCTTCTCAAATATTTTTCCAAAGACATCTGAAGGAAATTTTGTGAGATTTCTCAGAAGTGTTGTAATCATTCTTTCTGAAGAAACATCAAGTTGCACAGGATTATGACAATTCCTATGCGGAATGGCAGGAAGAAGAGAAGAAATGTGAAGCAGTGCTGGATTATTGCAGTTCCCCTACAGAATGTCATATTTCCTGCACAGGACTCACCAGAAATGATAAAATTTTAAAATACTTGCCACATCCCTCTTGATTCTCCTCCTCCTCAGCTTTTTCCACCTTGCGTGGTGTAGCGGAGGTTGGCAGTGACTGAAGGACCTTGTTGCTGAGAGACGAGAAGTTGGTCAGAGTTCTCCTAAAGCCAAGACAAATTTGAGTCCTTAAATGGAACGTTAAACAAACCAATAAGGTGAATCTGACTTTTGAGGGAAACACAGTAGGCCAAACAAACAGGGTCAGAAATGCAATACAGCAAAGTAATCTAGAAGCAATCACAATATGAAAAGCTGGTTCTAAGCCAGGATCTTATCCGTCAGCAGTGTGGTTTGCAAGAATCTGGGAACTGAAATGCTTGCTTTTTTTTCAGCAACTAGGACATCTCAGTTGACTCCATCTTGATCTGCCCGGGTCTAACTACAAACACTTAAGTGTTCCCTCAAAGAGTCCACAGATGCATACTCCTTTACCAGCAGCTATCTGAGCCTAGACATTCTAAAATCTACACCCCTTGGGAATGAGAGGTAGTTTGTCTTCCCTCTTTAATTTAGAATCCTCTCCTAACCATACATGGATCCTCCCAAAGACGTGTTCTGGAATCAGAACTAGTGCAATCACCTCTTGGATACTTGCATTTTTTCAAAGTCTGTCTCCCATGTATTCTTGAAGGCTTTCATGGCGCGGATCTGATGGCTGTTGCCACAAGAACCAGGGATCATTGCACAAAAAAGACCAGCTAAAGACACCCATCAATCACAGTGACAGATAATCTCTCCCCTTATCACAACAATACATCCACAACAAAAACACACTGATTGCCATCACCCAATGTCCTGAAAAGGATAATAGCTGTTCCCACAGCTATAAATACTCAACTATCCAACAAATAGCAACAGAGCATGGACAGAGTTCCTACTCCGGTCCTCTGAAGATGCCAGCCACAGAGGCTGGTGAAACGTCAGGAAAAACAACCTTCAGAACACGGCCAAAGAACCCAAAAAACCCACAACAACCATCTGTCTCCCATGTTCTCTAGATTCTAGGAGGCTCCTTGTTGGAAGAGAATGGTTTCACCCCACCCACATTACTGTGTTCCACCTACCTGTTTGGGTGGGATGTAATAGGATGAAAATATACACAGAGCACTATTCTGGTCTGTTGCTTACAGAGAGGACTTTGTTAATGGCAGTGCCCCAACTTCTGGAATGCCCTTTCAAGGGAAGCGCCGCTAGTGCCGACATTATGCATTTGTTTGATACCAGGTCTTTTTTTAAAAAAAAATGTGGTCAAGCATCTTGAATTAATTATACAGTTTTAGCTGGTTGGATAGGGCTTTTTGTTCCTATCATCTCCCAGCTCTGTTTTTTACAATGTGAAAAATTACTGTTATCAATATGGTGAGCCAGATAGCAGATTGTTGTTTGATGTTTTATGTATACCAACTGACAAAACTGCTCAGATGTAGTACAGAAATTTTTTAAATAGACAGCAAGTACTACACCTGATAGTCTTGAAAGTCCATTCTTCTTCCACTTCCACTTTATAGTTGCGTGATGGTAAGCCAGAAAATCTAGGAAGGTCAGGAAGGTGTTTTGTTGTTGTTGTTGTTGCTATACCATCACATTGGAATAATTCCCCCATGACAATTGTTTGTATGGAAACTGCATTCCGTTTTTTTAAAAAAAATCTAAACTCTTCTCTTGGCTTCATGCTCTTTGTCCTATACTAAGAAATCATCTGCATGCTATTTCCAGGAATGCGCAAACAGTAATATGATTGAATATGACTTGTAGAACATCGTCCCACAAATGTGAGGTATTAAAAATATAACATGCTTGTAGTAAAGTACCTGCCTTTACAGACTTCCATACGATCACATGTCTAGTTATAGTCATATGTTTTTCATAATGGCTGTATTCAATCAATTAGTATTTCTCAACTGTTAATTAATGAGAATTTACTTCTTCTAAATCCTGCATCTGTATCTAATTCCATCTGTTTATATACATCAATTTTACATGACAAATTGCTGCATAATTTTGACCATTTAAAAAACAGAAGACGATCTGCATTGTTGCATAATATGGTGCAAGAAGAAGACTACAAGGGCATTTTAACCAGAGTGGATTTAATTAAAGCAAATTGATCTAAATCACTATTTGAATTTGGAAAAAAGTGGGGGGGGTTTGAGTACTTAAATTTAAAATTTATTTTTTGATTTAAATTGTGATTTAAATGACAATTTAAATTGTCATTTAAATCACAATTTAAATCAAAAAATAAATTTTAAATTTAAGTACTCAAACCCCCCCCACTTTTTTCCAAATTCAAATAGTGATTTAGATCAATTTGCTTTAATTAAATCCACTCTGGTTAAAATGCCCTTGTAGTCTTCTTCTTGCACCATATTATGCAACAATGCAGATCGTCTTCTGTTTTTTAAATGGTCAAAATTATGCAGCAATTTGTCATGTAAAATTGATGTATATAAACAGATGGAATTAGATACAGATGCAGGATTTAGAAGAAGTAAATTCTCATTAATTAACAGTTGAGAAATACTAATTGATTGAATACAGCCATTATGAAAAACATATGACTATAACTAGACATGTGATCGTATGGAAGTCTGTAAAGGCAGGTACTTTACTACAAGCATGTTATATTTTTAATACCTCACATTTGTGGGACGATGTTCTACAAGTCATATTCAATCATATTACTGTTTGCGCATTCCTGGAAATAGCATGCAGATGATTTCTTAGTATAGGACAAAGAGCATGAAGCCAAGAGAAGAGTTTAGATTTTTTTTAAAAAAACGGAATGCAGTTTCCATACAAACAATTGTCATGGGGGAATTATTCCAATGTGATGGTATAGCAACAACAACAACAACAAAACACCTTCCTGACCTTCCTAGATTTTCTGGCTTACCATCACGCAACTATAAAGTGGAAGTGGAAGAAGAATGGACTTTCAAGACTATCAGGTGTAGTACTTGCTGTCTATTTAAAAAATTTCTGTACTACATCTGAGCAGTTTTGTCAGTTGGTATACATAAAACATCAAACAACAATCTGCTATCTGGCTCACCATATTGATAACAGTAATTTTTCACATTGTAAAAAACAGAGCTGGGAGATGATAGGAACAAAAAGCCCTATCCAACCAGCTAAAACTGTATAATTAATTCAAGATGCTTGACCACATTTTTTTTTAAAAAAAGACCTGGTATCAAACAAATGCATAATGTCGGCACTAGCGGCGCTTCCCTTGAAAGGGCATTCCAGAAGTTGGGGCACTGCCATTAACAAAGTCCTCTCTGTAAGCAACAGACCAGAATAGTGCTCTGTGTATATTTTCATCCTATTACATCCCACCCAAACAGGTAGGTGGAACACAGTAATGTGGGTGGGGTGAAACCATTCTCTTCCAACAAGGAGCCTCCTAGAATCTAGAGAACATGGGAGACAGATGGTTGTTGTGGGTTTTTTGGGTTCTTTGGCCGTGTTCTGAAGGTTGTTTTTCCTGACGTTTCACCAGCCTCTGTGGCTGGCATCTTCAGAGGACCGGAGTAGGAACTCTGTCCATGCTCTGTTGCTATTTGTTGGATAGTTGAGTATTTATAGCTGTGGGAACAGCTATTATCCTTTTTCTCTCTCTCTCTCTCACACACACACACACACACACACACACACACACACACACACACACACGATGCTTTTGGTTTTCTTTTGGTGACATAGCTGGATACAACTGGGCAAATTAGCCAAGGGTGTTTCATTTACCTTTCTTCCTCCTACATATCACTTGATCACTGTGCAGCTTCTTTGGAGACCGCGCTCCCCGATCTATTAAAAGCCTTAGGGCAAGAGTGGAATTCTGACATCTTCCCCTGGGCTTTAATTGAAAGATAGGGAACTGGGGAGAGGGCTGTCACACAGTTGATTGGGTTATAGAATACAAGAAATTTTCAGCAGAGCATTTTTATAAAGGATGTATGGGAGTATTAAGAAAGAAATCAGACAATTATGCCACCAGGCCTCATTTTATAATACAGTTTAGTCTTCTCTCTGTCTCTCTCTCTCTCTCACACACACACACACACACACACGCACAGACCAGTTGGGAGGAAATGGTAACCAAAATTGTAATGCAACATAGTTGTTATCAGTCTGTGATGCATTATTCCCCCTGCCTCAACAGAGATTTGATGCCTACAGATGAGAAAATAGTGTGATTCAATGAATGAATGAATGTTTTAATTTCTAATTAAATTTTATTTTTGTTTTCAAGCTTCAGTCCATCATGTGTTACTGAAGGAGTCAATGATTACCGATGTACTGCTTGCCCACCTGGATATGAAGGACAGTACTGTGAAAGGTAAGGAAAGTTACACATAGGATCATAACTAAAAGAATAAATGAAGAATAACAAAAACAAAAAGATCATAAAGTCACAATTAAGGGCATACATTATGAACCAAGAATTGGTCCAATCAGAAAAGACCAAATCTATAAAATTATATGAACTGTGATCAGATTCCAAGTGATATTCACACAAGGTTTATGCTACTTGCTGCAACTAATTGACAAAGTGTCAGTTATGAACTCACATATGTAACTGAGATATGTCCTGACACTTTATCAATTATCCAGGACAAGTTATGCAAATTTTATGCAAACATCAATAGGATTCTGGCCTATTTGGTACATGACATATGTATCAGATCTGCAGCCTTTTAAATTTGTGACTTGTTTGCTTCTGGATATTCTCTCTTTTTTTATTTGTTTAATAAAGCTAATACTGTATTACAAGAAAAGGGGACAGTCATCAGTGATTTTATCCAAATGAAGCCAAACCATGAGTCAAGCTAAATGGTGCAAAAGGTACATCTTTATAGAAAGTGAAAGTTGGTTTATTCTTCCACCAATGGAAATCCACCAGATGTTCTGGCCTTATCAATCAGTCTTGCCAAGAAGAAGACCATGTTTAACTTTCTGATTATGACCATTCTGAAAACAAACCTCAAACTACTAAAGGTGTTAAGTGAAAAAAAAAAGTTTATGTCACAGAGCCATCTTGCAGTGTTTGAAGAATTCCTGCTTCTAATGACTTGTTATCTGTTTTGTTTTGTTTTGTTTGATTCTTAGAACTTATTATTTATTTATTTATAATATTTGCATCCCACCTTTCTCTTTGAAAAGGACCCTAGGCAGCTTACAGCTTTGAAAACAATGTCTAAAGTTGAAAGCAATGAGTGCACAATGGTGGTTAATGCTTTTGGTTTTCTTTTGGTGACATAGCTGGATACAACTGGGCAAATTAGCCAAGGGTGTTTCATTTACCTTTCTTCCTCCTACATATCACTTGATCACTGTGCAGCTTCTTTGGAGACCGCGCTCCCCGATCTATTAAAAGCCTTAGGGCAAGAGTGGAATTCTGACATCTTCCCCTGGGCTTTAATTGAAAGATAGGGAACTGGGGTTTTCTTTTGGTGACATAGCTGGATACAACTGGGCAAATTAGCCAAGGGTGTTTCATTTACCTTTCTTCCTCCTACATATCACTTGATCACTGTGCAGCTTCTTTGGAGACCGCGCTCCCCGATCTATTAAAAGCCTTAGGGCAAGAGTGGAATTCTGACATCTTCCCCTGGGCTTTAATTGAAAGATAGGGAACTGGGGAGAGGGCTGTCACACAGTTGATTGGGTTATAGAATACAAGAAATTTTCAGCAGAGCATTTTTATAAAGGATGTATGGGAGTATTAAGAAAGAAATCAGACAATTATGCCACCAGGCCTCTGTAGCAAATTGTACAAGAGTAGTCCCACTGAATGGGGATGTATTGGGTTAACTCCTCCATATGTTCCATTGATTCAAATGTGCCTACTGTAATTGTAACCAAGTATACTAAAGTCACAGAGTAGATACTTTTTAAACCAATGGAATATATTGAGTTGACTCACCAAATCCCTATTGATTGACTGAGTCTACTCTAGTGTGATTCAATGAATGAATGAATGTTTTAATTTCTAATTAAATTTTATTTTTGTTTTCAAGCTTCAGTCCATCATGTGTTACTGAAGGAGTCAATGATTACCGATGTACTGCTTGCCCACCTGGATATGAAGGACAGTACTGTGAAAGGTAACGAAAGTAACACATAGGATCATAACTAAAAGAATAAATGAAGAATAACAAAAACAAAAAGATCATAAAGTCACAATTAAGGACATACATTAGGAACCAAGAATTGGTCCAATCAGAAAAGACCAAATCTATAAAATTATATGAACTGTGATCAGATTCCGAGTGATATTCACACAAGGTTTATGCTACTTGATGCAACTAATTGACAAAGTGTCAGTTATGAACTCACATATGTAACTGAGATATGTCCTGACATTTTATCAATTATCCAGGACAGGTTATGCAAATTTTATGCAAACATCAATAGGATTCTGGCCTATTTGGTACATGACATATGTATCAGATCTGCAGCCTTTTAAATTTGTGACTTGTTTGCTTCTGGATATTCTCTCTTTTTTTATTTGTTTAATAAAGCTAATACTGTATTACAAGAAAAGGGGACAGTCATCAGTGATTTTATCCAAATGAAGCCAAACCATGAGTCAAGCTAAATGGTGCAAAAGGTACATCTTTATAGAAAGTGAAAGTTGGTTTATTCTTCCACCAATGGAAATCCACCAGATGTTCTGGCCTTATCAATCAGTCTTGCCAAGAAGAAGACCATGTTTAACTTTCTGATTATGACCATTCTGAAAACAAACCTCAAACTACTAAAGGTGTTAAGTGAAAAAAAAAAGTTTATGTCACAGAGCCATCTTGCAGTGTTTGAAGAATTCCTGCTTCTAATGACTTGTTATCTGTTTTGTTTTGTTTTGTTTGATTCTTAGAACTTATTATTTATTTATTTATAATATTTGCATCCCACCTTTCTCTTTGAAAAGGACCCTAGGCAGCTTACAGCATTGAAAAAAAAGTCTAAAGTTGAAAACAATGAGTGCACAATGGTGGTTAATACCATTAAAACACAATATTTAAAGCTAAGAACAATGAAGCATCTTACATCATTAAATGCAATATTAAAGCTAAGAACACTAAATTTCTCAGCACTTGGGGAAGTAGGGAACAATTGACATGATAGTTTGTAATAATTATAGATCTTCTTCCAAGGAATAATCAAATGTGGTCTGAAATATGGAACAGGCAGAGGAATTCTTTTAAAAAGCATATTACAGGCGCTGCAGCAGTCAGTTCAGGGCAGAAAAGTACAAAGCTATGCCCTCAAAGTAGAATGAAGTTAGAGCATGGAAAAATATGTAAAAGAAAAATCCTATGAAGATGAATGAAATTTAGAAAGGCATGTTAGCTTATATCACCCATCAATTCTGACTTTTACAGACTTCCCCCTCTACCCCCAAAAACTGCCACTGAAATTAGAAAACCATTTACACTCATAGTCTTTATGTGTAACTATTTCCATTATTATTTTTCAACCTATAGGTGTTCTCCTGGATACACTGGGACTCCAAACATCCCTGGTGGATCTTGTCAAGAATGTGAGTGTCATCCACATGGTTCACTGCCTG